ATAACTTCAACTCTTTAGTTCAATTCATAATCAATACATAAATTTAAAGTATCAAGAAGCCGCTGTTATACACTTTAAATATCACTTAGAATATTACAAATGTTTACTGAAATATATGGATTGTACACAAATATGTATTAGCTATAAGATTTTTTTCACATCAAACGAATACCACTATATCATAAATTGATAAAAGGTAAAAAAAAAATTATTAGATACTATACTTATCAGCGAATCCAAGTTGGATCTAAATACTAGGGTCTAATCGCAAGCACTACACTAATTGGGTAACAAAGTATTTCAAGTAAATACAAACCAAAAATATTAAAAATGTTAGCATTGACAGACTTGTCATTTTTTCTAAATTTTTAAATGACAAAATGAATAAAAAAAATGCAGGAATAATCAATTGATTTTATTTTGTACATTACACAAGACCAGGACCCAATTAATGTGGTACTTGAAAAAATCCCGGACCCAACTAGTATAGCAATTTCTAAATTTGGAACCCAACTCGGATATAGTCATACTTATAAATTGTATATTACCCTGGAAATTTTATTATTTTCTCATGGCAAATTACCGGTTATATTATAATATACAAAAAAGTACAGTCAAGTAAAATGGCCGTTAATATTATCCAGTATTCATATTTAATACAATGAATAATTTTGCTTATTGTATCTTCAAGTGTACCTGCAGGCTACAACAGCATGTAAATTAAAAGTAGGTATACATTTTATTATTATTATTCATAAGCTGCTTTTTAAAATATAATAATGTACGAAATAAAAAATAAAACCAGTGAAGTCGTACTGCTGTATACTGCTGGTGTCGAGTGTACTTCAGTATATTGCATACAAAAAACGGTCCTGGGCGGAAGGAGACCGTCTACCAGCTCATATTCTTAAAAATTTAGCGTAACGTGAAACTTGGCGGCCTTAGAAGCTGTAAGAGATGGAAGCCCCAGCGAAGAATTAAATTATTAAATAGTTAAACTAAAAGCTAATAACAACAAAAAATTATAATTATAATTATAATACCAAATTTGTTTCACTACTAATATAAATCTATTAAAAACAATAATATTGTATAGTTTAAAAGAACTTTTCGAGCCTTTGTTTGAATGACTTGTCTATCTAAAATCTAAGACATCCTCTATATTATGTAATTGACATATCCGCTCATTCTCAAAGGAAATAATTAATGAGCCACTTGGATATTCTTCTTCCGTCGTACTTAGTAAATATATTTTTTTATCATTTTCAGTTTTAAGAACGATCATTTTGCAGCTGAAACAATGATGAGTACATGTGAAGCATATTTCATAAAATCAAAGTAGTGTACATTTATAAAAAAGTAGATATATAAAGGGTAGGTTAATGTTAAAAACATTAAATCTATAAAATTTTATAATGCCGTGGTGAAAATATTATCCCCCCCCCCCAACCAACTTGGACATAATATTAAGGATCTAGACATAATTACATTCACACAGAATGTAAAATTTAACTGATATTGGAAACATTAAGTAATAACTAATTCCTCTTAAAATACGATTGGCGCTTGACAAAACAAAATTACTCTTCGATTTTTTACGGAACAACGTGTTAGCAAGAACAAAAATATTATTTTTTTCTTTTTGGTCCTACTACGTACAATCCTCAAGTATTTCATACAAACGCAGTCAACTGAAAAACATATGTTCTTGGATGCTTTCACAGATGTGCTAATTAGTAGTTTTAATGAATCTCCAAAGGATTAGAACTAGAATTAAATTAGTTCATATCAACATAATATTATCTACTTATATAATTTATTTATACAATTATAAAGGTACTTAATAGATAATAAGCACCGACCTATATCGACAATATTTAAAGTCGGGAAAATTTAGACAATATTAAAATCCACTCAAAAATGCATTTAAAATAATTATTTACAATAGGTGATTTTACTTTATATTATGATAAATAAAAATAATAATTCTAAGTATGTAACATAAGCATTCGTAGTTCGTATCTATTGATTGCATTTTATAAACTTTGATTATTTCCACGTAATACAGTCGATTAGTGATCTATAGTAAATAGTTAGTGGCTATAAATAATACTAGGTACGAATGTAACTTAATTAAAATTAAAATAATTCTTCTAAACTATTAATAAGTAACTAATAACTAGGTTTTAGATTTGGTTTTAATATAGATAATTTCAAAAAACACTTAAAAGTGAAAAAAGCATTTATTGACGGTATTAAATTTACTTATCAAAAATTTGTTTTAATCATGAGGTTAAATAGATTAATTAATAATCGCTAAATTAACTATAGATACGTCCAACAGCAATAATAAAACAAATCCGAGTAATCTTAAACATAACATCAATAATGTGTTATCTTTGCAAGATTTTATCGATTTGTATTATAAATATGAAAATAAACTATTATAATCAATTGATAACTAAACACAAAAAAAAAAAAAAGCAAAATAATATTATTAAGTTTGTATAGGTAACTCTAGGGAATAGCAGTTATATCCAGTGCTTGATTTGGGGGGGGCGGAGTCCTCCTTCTTTTTTAATTTTTTTTAGCGTACCCCTTCTATTTGCCTCCATGGTAATGTGACGGTTAATTATGTGTGGAACGCTCGTTTATCGAACATCCGATGAGTCCCTCTTCTATTTTTTTTTCTAAATCAAGCACTGGTTATATCCATAAATTAACAATCAATATCAAAAATGCTAGAAATTGCTGAAAAAATATTCTAGACTATTAAGGTTACATTAGGTTTAGAAGAACTATCTAGTTTAAAAAAGGTATATACCATAAATTATTACTAAACCTATTAATTTATAACATCTATCCAATAGGATATTGAAATCGGATATTCGGATATTGGATTACAATATTACACATTATTTTATTTAAACCTTAATAATTCCCAACAATACTCAACATATAATAACAATGGACAATAAGAATATTATATTCAAATTTAAACTGAACAAGGAATCTATTGACTTCATGTATGTGTTCTAAAAAATGTTTGTAGACTTTGTAATTGTAGACTATAGTAGCTGTTGGTTAAAATCAGTAAAATTGTTTTTTCAAATCGAAGTGCAAGTACAGTTTTATACAGCATGACAGAATAAGTTTTCCACTAAGAAATGTGTTCGTCCGTCAGACATCAATTGAAACGTAAAATTTGTTTTTGAAAAATTCTGTTTTCGTTATCGTTTTGATTTACTTTTCGCTAATATACGACAAAAAGAAAAATTACTATATTCTTAATTTAATCAAAGTAATACATTAAAATGTGATGAAAATTTTAAACATTTTAACGATGTAAATGTCAATTGGACTTCAACATCGACAAAAAAAAAAAAAAAAACAATTATTTTTTGTGTAATTTATTTGTTATTATCGGAAGGAGTTTTAAACTTATTATGAACTATGATGACTCACTAGTCACATGAAGCTATTGCACTACAAATACATTAATTATGTTGTGATAATATTCAACATATTTGAACTGCGTTCTAGTCTGTTAAACATCAAACTCCTGGGCTTTTGAAAAATTGTTATTCATGAAAAACCACCAATACCACTGCATGCATACTTTCACTGCAGAACATTAACAACTGTTACATATAATAATATACCATATGAAACTAGAACACATTTTTAATAAATACAATAAACACTTTGAGTTTTCAAATTATTTTTGTTTTTATTGATTTATACATATTTTTATTCATGTACATAATATATATATATATGTATATACGTGAGGTTATATATATAAATAAATATATATATACACATACACACACGTATAATTTATTATATATAAATTTCTATATGTATACATATATATAAAGTAGAATCAAGAGGGTGTCATACCACAAAAATGTATTGACACGTGTTAAATATAATATAATTTATATATATATATAAAATAGGCTATTCACAAATACAGGAAAAATTAATATTAGGTATGCACCATTGTGGAAGATAAAATATTACTAAATAATAATAATTTATAAAATGTTTACATTCTTTTAAGGAAAAATAAAAGGTTTCAAGTATAATATTATAATAGTGTGAAGATTGCAGAAGACATTATAGATACTACTATTTAAAGTAAAAAGAGAGCTAAGAGGAGAAAATAACATTAAAAATCAAAATATCACATATTCTAATGTGGCTGAATCTTTGGTACTTGACTTTGCACAATGTTAAGGTCCATTGTGAAGCAAGTTAGACGCACGGGGACATTTTTAAATCGCTTTTCATTAATATATTATTATATCGATAAAGCGAATCAAAATATGTATGTTGTACATCATATATCAATTTTTTTGTTCTGGAATAATGGCGTCAAAATAAAATTAATATCACAAAGGCAAAAAAAAATAATTAACAGTACATAATGCTTTCTGCAAACCACTTGATCGATTAAAAGTATGTTAATACGCTAAAAAAAAAAAAAATATATTATCAAACGAAAACAAGACAAATTGTTAAAAATGCCTGGATCCATAAATTATTATTTACACGGATGAATACACTTCAACTTCGTTATCTCTTAATCTAAAATTGTTCCATTGACTATTATATTTTTGTATATATTTTTTTTTCTTTAAGTATAAAAAGTATAAAAAATATGTTTTACAAAATAATAAGTTTTAAAAACAATATACAATAATTAGGCTGTTATTATTATTATTCCGCCTATTCTCTTTCATATTACATAATATAGGAATACATACTATAAGTTATTATCTCATTCCTGCCTTAACATTTTTATCAATAAACCTGCATTTCGATATAACAAAAAAAAAAAAAAAAAAAATGTATACATTACAGAAAAAATATTTAACACTAGTTAAATAATAAAATAAAATTAAAAAAAAAACATATTCTATTTTTATATAATATTTTAACATTAAATGGCACTTACAGTAGTGTGCCACATGCGTTAGGTGGATTTATAAAAAAAATCTGTTTGTTAATAATTTGTATTATTATGTATATTATCAATATCATCGACAGTCTTTAGAAAACGTACCCTTTTTAAAGCTGGATATGTAAATAATTGTAGTGAAAACAGTTCCTGACACCAATACTATTGAATATGAATTTTGACGTATTTCTGTAAGTAAAAATAAACATTTTTATTAACGGAGAAAATTTAAAACTATTTTAAAAATATAATGCATTGGATTGTATTATTAATTATCCCTGAAAATGTTTAACTATGTATACAGATTTGTAAATTGTAATCTTTGTGTTGTGATTTAAAAGAGTTCACATTTTCAGATGATAAAATGGATATTATAAATGCTATTAGAAAATTCAAATTCAATAGGAAACAAAACCAATAAAAATAATTACTGTAATAAGTAATAACTAATAAATGATTAATTTAATGGGTAATATAAAAATGTATCGTTGAAAATCAACTAATATATTTTATCAAATAAGCCTAAATAATATTTAAAAAATCTATTATTACTTAGTACTTAAAACATTATCAATTTAATGTATATCAATATTTAATCTAAAATTAATTTTTATGTCCTTAAAAATCATTAACCATTTAAAACAATTAAAGATCATTTAGTATAATAAGACGAGGTTATCGAAGGTTATCGTCAAAAATCAAATAAGCATTCAATAAAACTTAAATTATACCTAGGTATTTATAAATAAAAATGCATATATTTAAACTACTCAAATATATTATAATTTATAAATTTCTTAAATTTATAGAAACAACATTTTATTTAAATCTTCATAAAATTATTAATTAAATAATTAAATACATACAATATAGTTTTAAAGGTAGAAGTATATTCTTAAGCAGACACTACGTTTCTTCAGAAAATCTGATCATAAAAGAATTTTTTTATATTTTTTTGTAATATGTTGTTGGGAAAATATGTATTGTTAAATAAAATATAATACACTATAATATATTATTACAGTGTCATTGTTGTTCACATAGCCTGAGTTATGTTGTATTACTTCGTTATATTTTCCTCCCACGCATATAATTAAATACGACACACATGTGACATGAAATCGAAAATTATGTTCTTAAATATATTAGTACAATTATACAAAATTTTCCGAACAGATTTTAAAACGCATCAAATCGTGTAGGTAGCCATAAAAAAAGAATAATAATGAATCGTTTTCAATGTGTTTAAAAAATAAATAAATTCCAAATTTAATTTGGATAAAATATTAACTTTCATTTATATATTAGGATGGGTATTTATTGTATTGGAATAAAATATCAATTGTACTAATAATACACAATAAGCATATAATATGACATGAGTTATAAACTGTATATCAATCACCGGAGAAAAATGTTTCGCGCTGTTTAACGAAGGGACGGGCCTAATTTAAGCTCCAACGGTGATCGTGTTCTATTTATGAGTTCCCCCATGATACACACCTCACGAACGCGCCCGCGTTTATAAAATATTATACACAATACAGGGCGATTCCCTTAACCCAACGGTCTAGGTAATTATTTAATTTTTTTTTTTGAGAAAACCAAAATTTCTTAACAAAAAATGCTACAAACATTATAATAATCATAACGGGTAATTACAATTGAAAATCGAGCTGATACGTGTACAGGAGGAGGTATAAAATGTTAAGACTAGAACACTAGACAACTCAGGCAACTCAGCCAAGTGACATAAACTTTAGTCTTATAGAATACATTTATTAAGATGACGGATAAAACAAAAAAATTAAACGATTTGAGCCTATTGTTAAGAAATAATCGCTCTGTATAAGCGACTTGTTTGCAGTATAACATGACATATTGTTGAAGTGAAGAGTTTCATTTTTTTAATAAGCTAACAATGTGCCGTTTTTAGAATGATCTTCCGGTCGCCACCCCCTTCTCAGTACTAAAACCAATTATTCCGTTCGTTAAATAAGTATCAATACATTATTATATATACTCTATACCTATGTATACTTCACATTTCGGATACTATAAATTAATCAGACGGCAGCCCACACCCAAAGGGTCGCGACGTCGAAATAAATAATCGCCCAATCGAAAAACAATGTTATTTAGATAAGTAATGAAATCAACAGATATTTAACAGCCAATAGTTATTTTACACCCTCCCTCGATCATCACACAACGATAACGATGACTCTCCTGTCACGGGGAAGCCATTTTTACCACAGAATATTTGAAACAATATTACGTCGTTTAGGCACATTTATTCGACGTGTTGTCTAATATAATAACATACACACACACTCGACGGGAGTCCAGTACCAACGTTATTATTAGGACTATTATTACTACCTCCACTGTGTGTCTGTACACAATACTATATGTTATAAAGATCTCGTAAGCAATCAACGAAGTCCTACATAAGCAGCGAACGATGCGTATTTTTAAGTAATAAGTATGAACACAGCAAGATAGATACAACACTACTGCATAATCATATCATAATGGGTCGAACGCGATTCAGAGAAAGGCTCACGTAATTGGTAATTCTCCGGAGTAACGCATCGTCGTCGCCGAACAAGTTTAAAAACATTACAATATTACCTATGACCTGATAATAAAAAAAACGCGCGATTATCATGATATCTAGAATTCATTGAGATGTTCATTATCTTATTTTTTCATTGCTAGAACACATTATTACTTCGATCAAGAATTTATAAACAATAACGACAAACGATAGAATAATAATAAATTATATAAATTATATTAAAATACGTATAAAGATATATCGCGACCTCGTGGTCAATGGTCTCCATCACTATTATCAGTTATTACGGTCACGTATAACGTAACGAGTAAAATCAGTGTATAGATAAGGACAAATATTATAATCGCTTTTTAAAATTCCCACTTGAGGACAAATAATAATGGTTTCACGGAACACACATCCTGTTCTCATATAATATATAAACGAAAAAATTCCTAGTAGTAATACGGATAAATATACCAAACAATGGCGGTACTGATATTATTAAACAAAAATATATAAACTATAATAAAATTAAAAAAATTTTTTATGGATATCTATAAACGAGAACAACAAACCTATTTCCACGTTACAAAACTTAGAACCTCACACATGGTTACGGTTAACGATTGCTAAACAACAAACTGACAAAAACCGATTGTACTCTTTTTTATTAAGTGTTATACACCCTTAAACCAAACTGACCACCACCGACCGATCCTTAATTTCCGTTCAATAGGATTTAAACAATATAATAGTATATGCAAGTACCAAACTACACAAATGTACATAATATTATGTTGGTTGTTATAATATATTATTATTATATTTTATTAATATTAGTTAGTTTCTTTTGTGGTTTATCTCTCGAATAAAAGACGGGAGTGGCGACACCACAAGAAATTAAACTATGACATTTTGGCCACCAATTAATTTTTTTCTTGACATTCTTCTGAACAAATCACTGACAATTATAAATCAATAATTAACGTCATAATTGAACGTCAAATAGACGGTGTATAATATGTCATAGATTATGTTACATTAAATTTGACCGTGTATCGGTTTCTCTTAAACACGGTGTACTGCTAATAGCTAATACTAAAATATTACAACTCTACTATCTACGTATTTATCAATTTAGTTATTACGGAACGTAATGCTGGTAGTTTATTTTGTCGTTAAGAAGTTTAGAACATTAGAGTATTAGACATTATACGATTGTTTAAATATATTTGAATAAACGAACGTCATAATATTATTGTCATATGTGTAAACTAGAATAACTTAATAAAAAAGTATGTTAACTCTAGGAAGCCAATTAGAAAAAGTATAAGGGGCTTCAATGAGTCACAGCTTGTTACAATTACGATAATGTTAGTGTATACAACGCGAACGTCATTGAAATTTTGTTTTCGTTAAACATTTTTTAATTATACCGTGTTTTAAGCGCTTACCGGTACAACCATTCAATAATACACACAATTCACCAAATCATAACAACGACAATTTTAACTAATATTTCGTTTTTTTTTTTATTATTATTACTTTTTTTTTTTTATCACAATAATTATTTTATAAGACTGAACGCTTATTAATGTTACATAATATGTGATCGAAGAATATTTTTAAACAAAATTTGAGATAAAATAATATTATGAAAGATCCAAAATCAGGCTTGAATAACTTTTCAAATATCCTTACCTAATCAAAAATTAACAAACAACAATTTTTTTCAGTATTACTTCAAATATGATAAATAAAATTTAAAATATTTAATTATAATAAAATTAATCCTCTTATATATTTTTTAAATTCTAAATGGAGAGTGATAAATGTATTTCCTTTTCAAGGTGTACAGTTGCTAGTTTATAATGGCTCACTGATACTAAATACCTACTGTTTTTTATACCTTTACGTTGCGCAATTTTAGTATAATAGTTGCTGTAGAACCGAATAGTGAACACAAACATGATAGAAAGTACTAAACTCAGTTTAAATTTATACAAAACTAAAATAAATATTCAATAGTCAATGTAAATCATGATAATAGATAATAAGTGTATGAAAAAAATAAAAATAAATTTTAAAACATTGATACCTATCTAATATCCTACATTATTTTTATTTTTTAAGAATTTTAAGCTCAATATTTATACAGCTTTATCTTGTTTTACATTTTTTTGGTTATTAAAAATCATTCAATAATCAATATTTCAATTAGAAATCTTAAATAGTTCATAATAAAAATGTAGAAATATTCTAATGTCATGATATAAAATTTTCAAATAAAATATAACAAATTAATTAATATGATGGGGAAAAAAATAATATCAATCATAATAAAAATAACATATTTGTTGTAGGAAATCAAATCCTTACTAATACACATGAAGTATAAAAATATTGTAGATTTTTTTTTAGTTATAAAATATGTTTATGCCTAATAATAAAATAAAATGTAATTAATTTTTTTAACTTGAAAAAAATAAGATGTGTATTGATTATTCTATTTAATAATAGTAATTTATACTTTGTAAAATAATGTACATTTTATTCGTTGGAAATGTGTCATATGAATAAAAGTAGAGAATATCTATGACAATATTCCTAATAGTTTTGGTAATGTTGATATTTAGTTTTCAGTTTTGACTATAAAAAGTTATTATAACTTACTAATAATTATAGAAGGTACATAGCTTATTAACTATGTAATTAATAATTAACCTTTAGATAGTGTCTAAATCCAAATGATTTAAAATGACTCAAGTATTTCAATGATTTTTGAAATAAACTTATTAAAGGAACCTAACAATCTATAAAATGTTTAATTGATAAAAACAAGCAATTTACCATCTATTAAATCAATAAACTACATTTTTTATGATTACGTTAAGCATCAATCATATATATATATTGTTATTTTTATATTAACAAATTAGGATAGTGCAAGTTTTTGTGAATGACTACATATCTAATGTATGATAAAAATAGTAAATTATAGTACATTGAATGTTTCAAATAAGTAAACAATCACTTTAAATTCATAATAATAAGGAAGAAATGTCTTCAAAACACAATAGAATTTAGAAATACTGCATTAAGACTAATACTCAAATTAAATACTTAGTATGATAAAATATATATATTACCTGATAAAAATTGAAATCACCAGCAACATTTAACATTGATTGATGCACACAAAACACAAAATTCTAAATAATATGGCTTATAGAACTGTACAGCAACAATAACTCTTCTTCTCTTTGTCATTGCTAAAATTCATTTCACGTACAATCTCTGCAAATACTTCATTGACATTGGTACGGTTCTTGGCACTTGCCTCGACAAATGGACAGCCCCAGATTTGGGCCAGAGTGTTTCCTTCAATCGTTGGAACCTCACGTTGATGTTCCAAATCGATTTTGTTTGCAACTAGCAATATGGGTACTCGCTCTGATCCCTTCACCCTAGTGATGAGCTCTTTCATGGGTTTTATGTCCTGGAAGGTCTGATGGTTAGTCAGGCTGTACACGACAACAAAACCCTGTCCGTTCTTTATGTATAAGTCGCGCATACTGGCAAACTGTTCAGTGCCGGCTGTATCTAGTATTTCTAATACACAAGGCGAACTGTCGACTTCAATCTCCTTCCTGTAGAAGTCCTCTATAGTCGGGTCGTACTTCTCCATGAACCGGCCAGACACAAATTGCACAGTCAAGGCACTCTTGCCCACGCCGCCCGAGCCCAGCACGACCACTTTGAACTCGCGCATTGTTGTTGAATGGCCAACTGTAAGGCAACCACTGTGCGCATACGGACGACCGCTATGACCGGTTACTGGCGGTGTAGGCAGTTAATGACATATCGACTCGGCGATGACGTACCGTTCGCCGGGGGTTGATAAATTATAAAGATATTTGATACCGATCAGCTGTAAAGGGATGGCAAACAAGAAAAAAAATTAAAAATGATTTAAAAAAAATAATAAGTAACGCAATCAGGGCCGACGGATATCGAATCTCGTCAACTCCTTTTGAATGATCGAAAAAAATGTCTTACATTATAAACATATGAGACGACTTACAGCGACGACAACAACAACGACAGGAAAAGCAGCAGCAGCACAGCACAATGAAACGACGATTACGCACACACTCACAACAATCGCGTTAGCGTTCACGCACACACGCCCAGTTTTATCGCGTGTGTGTGCGAGTGCGAGTTGCCTACAGTGGCGCCAAGGTTGTGTCCGTGCATTTCCCGACCGCACAAAAGCAGATTTTTTTTTCGCCTTGTAATTATTTTATATTTTCAGTTCCACCGACGATCGACAATATTTAACTTAACAAATTATATAATTGAAAACAAATTCACACTCGAAATAACAAACATCACCAGGTCGTTCGCATGTCAAACTGTAAAACACAAAGTATCATTTTTCCATTACTGCACTCCTACGCATATAGGTATATATTATAATCTATATGTTATAAATAATACCAATAAATATCACCTCGCGAATTCGTCGATTGAGTATTTTTAAGTAAAATATATCAATAGCTAATAATTAATGACAAACCGTTCTCGAGCGTTGTCCCGTTTGTCGTTCTTAACATTTTATCGCGTGTTAATCGGAGCGGTGGTCGTCGGGAGCTGCACGTCACGAATGACGAGCGAACGATCAGTATTCAGTAGCTACGTTTGAAAGCGAATATAATATTATATTATTATTAGTACTACGCGCTAGACGGCAGCCCCACCGGAGTCTCAGACAACTACGACTGCGGTATATGGCTCATGCCTATATAATAATATAATACCGATTACTCACGCTACACCCGCAGGCCCGTAACACTGTGAATCTGTTAAGTTAAATAAAGTACCCATCGCGATTGGCGATAATTAAATTCGAAATCGTGATTATTGATATTACAATATTATGCGAAATATGTGCAATACGATTTATAAAAAATAATATTATATTTCATAATAATAATTACTATAAATCGGTTATTACTTATCATATCGTTATATTTATTAGTATTGTTGTTGTTTCATCTCTGTGAGTCGCTAGTCGCGACAATACATTTTATTCCATTCGAATTATTGCTGGTGCGCGCGACCTATTGTGATTTGTGATGTTATATTATCCTACTATTCTGCTATGAACTTATTATTTTGTATTTATGGAATGCGTTATTAATTATTAATTACCTACCTACCTATTATATAACATACGACGATTCTTGTGACGTCTTGTGCATAAATCATGACATATTTTAGTATATTATTATTGTTGGTCACATATTGTAACGTTGCAATAGCCTTTAATAATTGATATTTAAACGCGCAGCTATACCAACTACGATATATTACGTATACACGATATCCTGACCTATAGGCTATTTAATCTCTGTGTACGTAGTTAGGACTTGGAAATATTAAACACCGACAAATTACAAAAGTACTTACACCTATATCCTATACGTATAAATTTATTATGGTATAATATTTTTAATAAATGTTTATAATAACATATTATACTTGTAGCATGCTGCGATAAGAAGATATAGTAAGTATTTAAATAAAAAAAATAAAGTATAGATATAGATACATAATTTATTATTCAACTTAAAATCGATTCGAACGATTCATAAAAGTAGGTAATGATTTATGTATTAATGTATTATATTTATATATATAGTATATATGTGCATAAATTGTATAATATACAATAGTACAATACTCTATATTATATTATACATATAGGTCTGCACTCCACAGCCTATTAAATAATAATTATTATTGTATGCGTACTACATAATATTTATAAATGTAGGTATTAATGGAAAAATAATTAAATCGTAATAATAACTTCATTTATCTGGAACTTTAACAATTTATAAGTAAAAAAAAGCATAATGAATGTTTTTCTAATAATTTAAATTAATATGCGATGGCTTGGGTGACTTGAGGTAAATCAATTAAGGCACTTCAGCGTGAACTAACAATTTATTTAGATATTTAAACATATTTTATATGCTTAATTTTATTTATTAGGCCACGGTGTCATCCGCCAGAGATGGTAAATTTTTAACATACGAGATGGTGTGATTTTGAAGGCGATTTCTAAATTTAGTGCTGTAAAGCTTGTCTGTTTCAATCACTTTAGAAATGCGAAGATCTATGTGAAGAACGTGATTTGAGATACAAGGAGGAGCATTAGTTATGAGTCGGAGGACTTTTGATTGGAACACTTCTATTTTTTGTGTATTTGATATTTTGGCAATGTCCCAGAGTTGTATACTGTACAGCTAGCTAGATGAGCTTAAGAAGAAAATTATAAATATGAATTTTAGTTTTGACTTTTCAGGGATAATTCTGAGAATTTACCGAGAATAGGTCTGAGAGAGTAGTCATTACTCATTTGTTTAATTTTAATTATCTTGCATGAATATTTTTTGTCCATGTTAGACTTTGCTTTTGAAGATTAGGCCTAGATATTTGTCGGAGTTTATTAAAGGTTTTTGTTTATATGTACTGGAGGAGGAAATAATAATTATTTATTTTTCTAACATCAAGTTTTTATTTAACCTTTTTTGATTAAATTAAATAAAAACAATGTACATATACGCAGAATTTATACAATAAATTATTATGAAGTATATCAGTTGACAGTTATTAATACATTAAATGGCGGCATGAGTGAAAATTTTCAGGATAAGTTACAATTGTTCAAGACAAAAAATTAGACGGTGGGTAATGGGTACTGACTTGCTGGGCTATGAATAGTTGTCAATTGATACTGAATGGCTTTTGAGTTGACAAACTATGTCGTTTTCAATATTTCAGAAATAAGTGAATTGAAACAATTTTGTTGTCTCTGTATAGAATGTCTATGCCACCACTGAATACGTTCGTACCATGAATTCTTTTGGTAATACTTATAAGTGAATTCACATATTGTGGTTATCAAAGAATAAAAATTGATAAATACTAATATCCTGCATACGTCTATAGTTTAAAGTTTAAGTACTTAAAATATAAATTAGCTAGATGTAGAGGAGGGAATATAATTGTGTCTCACTAATAAGTTAGTCACGATTCCAGTTTATTTTTGATCTCTAAGGAGGCTCATCAGGTCACCAGGGATGTGATCTGAAATCTGAAGATATGACTCGAATTAAGGGGTTAATTTTGCAATTTCAGACGCAGTTTTGAATTATTTAGCCTTAAAGTTAAAGCCCAATCTTAGAGCCAATGACAACTTTTATAGTTTTTAAAATTGCCGACTAATTTGTTAATAGTTAATACTTTTTCATAATATATAATAAAATATTATTCATTATTTTGGTTCCTTTTTCAACAATACATTTTAAATAAAATAAAATTTATATAAATCGGTACCATATAGTTAATAGACCATAATATGTACTTGGAATTAGAGATAAGTATATTGGTATATTACCTGCAGCTATTACAATATGTAATATACTAATATTAAACATATAATATATATTAAATATCAAATGTTATCACTAATCATATCTTTGGCTGCTAATAGCAATTAATTCTTGTTTATAAAGTTTATAATTAATATTTCATTTCTGATTTATTAATTATTTATATAAATACGATATAGTCAATATTCAATAGCTAATATTGCAAATTACAAATTTTTGATTATTATAATATTTATATATTAGTTAGATAATTAGTACTTAGTTTTAAAATATAACTTTTTCAATATTATAAATTATTAAAATTTAAAAATATATTGTTTATTATAATATATTTAATTATTAATCGTACATGATGATAGTTATAATATTGTTATATTGTATTATTTATAATTATAACTTATAACTTTCAGTGATTTGTACAAATACTTTATGTACCTACGTTTCAATAAGTGTTATCAGTAAGACAGTGTAAAGTTTATACTTGATAAAGATATATAATTTTCCATTTTTAAATAACCACAAAAAGAAAATGGAGATTTTGAACAACACAATGTCTAAAATTTCGTAATAAAAATAATTTAGTAATACTCAGAAAGCATTGACATTAAATGTGATTTATTTATAATAATTATGTATAATACAAATGAATAATAATATTAAGTACCTTCATGTTATTATATAATCGAATATAATAGTTTTTAATTCCATAAAGTACCTTCCAATTATTTATTTATTCTGATATTCATTATCAGATCCATTTTCTCGGGTATGTGTATAATGTGTTTAAAAAATATTTAAATAGCTATTATAACTACATATAGTACATATCTACACCATGTTTATTTAATCTAGAGTTTAAAAATATATTACAAATATCCTATTTATATTTATATAGGTGATGATGATGAATCTATAGTTTTATTAATTAGAGATATAAATACATAAATGAGTACAGGCATTTATCTTAAGATCATTTTTATCAAAATACATATTTTTAAAAAGTATTAAATTGATTTAATTTTTTTTAACACATCCTTCCATTTATACGTCTATAATCATAAGATTATATGTTTATTGTTATACAGGAAGAAATAAGATGATTAATTAAAGTTTCATTGTTTTTAGCTTTTTTATTATATTTTGGATAAAATAGGACTTATAATATAAGTCATGTGTATACAAATTATCGATATTAATTTATATTCAACACAGCAATTCCTTTAAATTGTGAACTGTAATAGTATGTCAATATGAGTAATGTGACTTGATAGAATTCTGTAGAGTACGATTCACTCTAAAGCCTACTTCTATAATGGTCAATGGATCACCTCATTTACTCTTATTCTTTGTTGAGCCCCGTTCACAACTATATGGATTAGGGTTTGTTTATAATAGGTAGATAGAAAGCTCAGAATCTCAGATGTCGAAAAAAGCTAAAGGACCTGGAACACCAAAGACATTATTTTTGAATATTGAGTCCTGTATGATTTATATACCTAATATATTTTAATTTAGTGACACGTTTTTTCAATAAAAGTTGCCAAACGTATTTGAATAAAAATTGTTAAGAAAATACTGTATCAACATAATATACAGGAATAACTATTTTTAAAAGGTAATAAAATAAAATGTATAACATCTCTATAAAAACAGTAAGTAGGTACTTCGTTCGCAGTTTAGGTGTCGTGGTTGCGGAGTACATTTGAACACTACACACTCGTATATTATGATCTATGATAATATTATTACTTATAAATTATTATCCATATTATATTATACCTAAGTTTATAACATAATATTTCAAAATGAATAAATTTAATTGTTGAAATTATTTAATTATAATAATCTCTCTCCCCCACTAATTAATTATGTTTAAGCTACCAATTTACAAAAATCTATAATCAATTAATATGATATTATGTACCTAACTGGATAATCAGCTAGGGTGTCTAATTTACAAATATTTGAAATCAGTACCTAATAGAAACAAGTACGTATACAAGGGTAGTTGGGGGTTCAACCCCTCAATATTTTTTTTTGTGTACGTACCTAAGTAAAGGAATATAGAAACATATATCGTAACTACAGTTTGAGATTTTGATGATATAATAGCGTGATTTAGAAAAATTATAAAAGAGATATGCATGAATATTTTTGAATAACAAAAGGTATTTTGTGGACACAGCATAATTAATAGAATCTAACAAAAAAGGATCACCGTCGATAGAATGTTGT